TAAAAATGAATTTATTTTCTAAAACATAAATTGGCATAGTTTTTTACAAATCTAAGTTCAAGTGTGCTTTCTATTGAAATAAGAAGAGTCCAGTTATGACCAATAACTCTTTTTTATAACCAATAACTCTTACCAGATAATGCCAAATGACCTTAAAACATTGTTTCCCTGCATCTGTTTTAGATCCTGTATCTATAAACACTTAAAAAGTTTCAAAGAAACATAGAACTGAAAATGAAAGCTACAGTAAAAATTACTGTACCCTGGAAAGTCCTAGTAGGTTAAATAATTAGGAAAATTAATTTGTTTTGAGGTGTCTCTTTTTTTTAAGATTTACTTATTTATTTGAAAGGCAGGGTTACAGAGAGGCAGAGGCAGAGAGACAGAGAAAGAGGTCTTCCATCCACTGGTTTACTCCCCAGATGGCTACAACAGCTGGAACTGAGCCAATCCAAAGCCAGGAGCCAGGAGCCAGGAGTTTCTCTTGGGTCTCCCACGTGGGTTTGGGGCCCAAGCACTTGGGCCGTCTTCCACTGCTTTCCGAGGCCATAGCAGAGAGCTGGATTGGAAGCAGAGCACCCTGGACTCCAACTGGCATCTATATGAGATGCTGGCACTGCAGGCAGCAGCTTAACCCGCTACGCCACAGCGCCAGTCCTGGGGGAGTCTCATAAACACATTTTAAAGCTAAAGAATGTGAGATCTCTATGTTTTGTTTTTACTTACATGTATATAAAATTGTCTGACTACTGAGTAGCCAAAGCTGGGGAAATCACACTAATGGTTTTATCTCGTAAAACTGGGCTCTATGATATCATAAGTTGAGAGAAGCAGATGCAGGCAGAAAACCTGGCCAGATCAAGGCAACAACTGGCAGGGAAAAAACGAGTTCCTTGACATTACCGAAGGTTCTTAACACCAATGTCTGAATGATCCTAGGGGAAGGTGAAGAATTTCTTTACCTTAAGTGAGGAAGTAAAATTAAACTACTTTAGGTCTTTGTATTCCCTAAGCTGCTATATCATCATCAGAGTGATCTTCAGATACCAGATCACTAAATGTTTCAGAAAGTCATCAGCTCAGTCTATATGGGAGTAGCAACCCCCAACTTCTTAAAAATCCAGTCAGTCTTCTCCTATTATATTTCCCCCTTTTCAGTAGCAACTGCTCAAAAGAGAAAACAAAATGGAGAAGAGCATAATGGCTCAGAGAAACTTTCCAGGTCCGAAGGGCTGGAATCACAGAGTAATTTTCCTGATGCAAATAAAGTTAACAGGGCAGCCGCGACCCTCGCTAGGACTTTGCTATGAATTGGCACACGGCCAGTGCATCCAGAGAGTGGCCTCAGCTGATGATTAGAATGATCGCGCTCCATAGGACACCCGCAGTTCTGGAAAACCAATCTGAGCACTTCCTCACCATTGTTCCCCTGTCTAAGCAGTATTTTCATGATTCATATGGAGGTCCTTTCCTGTTACTCTGTGAATAACTAAAAGGGGCGGATCTCAATAGAATCCAAGGAGACCAGTGCACACGCATTCTTAACACAGGCTGAGTCCATCTCGGGATCTCATACAGGGTGAATGACCATTTGTATCTCCTTGAGCCTGAAGTACTTTCTGAGATGCAAAGCACTGAACAGTCCCAGGTGAAAAGGGGCGTGTATTTACTTTAATGCCACACCACATTAGGCACCTCCTCTTTTTGGACATACTTGCTCTAATCTGTCCCCACTTACGGCTTCCAGGTATGATGATGAAATGTATGAAGTGATTAACTATTCCAGGGGAAAAGTTACCTGAATCAAGACTCAATTGGAGGCCAGCGCCGCGGCTCAAAAGGCTAATCCTCTGCCTTGTGACGCCGGCACACCAGGTTCTAGTCCCGGTCGGGGCGCCAGGTTCTGTCCCGGTTGCCCCTCTTCCAGGCCAGCTCTCTGCTGTGGCCAGGGAGTGCAGTGGAGGATGGCCCAAGTGCTTGGGCCCTGCACCCCATGGGAGACTAGGATAAGTACCTGGCTCCTGCCATCAGATCAGCGCGGTGCGCCGGCCGCATTGCGCTGGCCGCGGCTGCCATTGGAGGGTGAACCAACGGCAAAGGAAGACCTTTCTCTCTGTCTCTCTCTCTCTCACTGTCCACTCTGCCTGTCAAAAAATAAAAAAATTTAAAAAAGACTCAATTGGAGGCATAAATAGTGATGCATTTATTTAACAAGCAATTATAAAGCCATATTGTTTACAAGATAATGCATTAAACACTGGAAAAAAAACAAAGATGATTAACACTTGAGCTCTATTCTCAGAGTTTTACAGTCTTGTATGTAAATTAAGACTCAAAATATCTGTAATGCAAACTATAAAATGTAAATCTTATTTATTACAGAAAAATCTGTAGCTTGTAGAATGTTACTTCTCATTTCTAGTTTGACAAATGATCCAGTTATGAGTTATGATAAAGCATAGCTATAATAAGTTCACAAGTACATACATCATTGGATGTACGGCAGAACAAAGAATTAGCAATGGTTAGAGTCCAAGAATGCTTCATGAGGGAAGAAATTAATGAACGGTGTAAACTCTAAGAACAAGTTACCCAGGCCCAAAAGAGAGTGAATAACTAGGTGGAAAGAAGGGAAAGAGAAAAGAATGGATGGAGAATGACAGAGAAGTTAGAAAGAATTAACAGCTATCTTGGGTATGAATTGTTAGAAAAGAAGCTATTCTGGCTGGTGCCGTGGCTCACTTGGCTAATCCTCCACCTGCGGCACCGGCACCCCAGCTTCTAGTCCCGGTTGGGGCGCCCGATTCTGTCCCGGTTGCTCCTCTTTCAGTCAGCTCTCTGTTGCGGTCCAGGAAGGCAGTGGAGGATAGACCAAGTACTTGGGCCCTGCACACGCATGGGAGACCAGGAGAAAGCACCTGGCTCCTGACTTCGGATTGGTATGGTGTGCCGGCTGCAGCGCACCGGCCGTAGCAACCATTTAGGGGGTGAACCAACAGAAGGAAGACCTTTCTCTCTGTCTCTCTCTCTCTCTAAGTCTGCCTGTCGAAGGAAGGAAGGAAGGAAGGAAGGAAGGAAGGAAGGAAGGAAGGAAGGAAGGAAGGAAGACAAGACAAAATAAGACAAGAAGCTGTTCTGGGGCCAGAGCTGTGGCTCCTGCACCCACCTGGGAGACCTGGAAGAAGCTCCTGGCTCCTGGCTTCAGATTGGTGCAGCTCCAGCCATTGCAGCCATCTGGGGAGTAAACAGGCAGATGGAAGACCTCTCTCTGTGTCTTTCAAATAAATAAAAGTAAATCATTAAAAAAAGAAATGAAGCTGTTCTTTTCTTAGTAAGGCACAGGAGTCAAGAGGATACAGGAAAAGAGACGAGGTTAAAAAATAAAAGAGAGGAGGTTAAAGAATAAAAGACTAGATCATGAAGGGTCATGTATGTTATGCTCAGTTATTTGAATTGGGTCTCATGATAAAATGTCTCATTGCAGGGCAATTCACAGCTACATGGACGTCTCTGGGTCAGATCCCGTTCTGAGTCAGTGAGTGAATCCATCTTTCTGGGTTTCCCCTGTAACAGAGAGATTCAGGTCATCCTGTTTTTGCTCTTCTGCATCATCTACCTCCTGACTCTCACAGGAAACAGAGCCATTATCTGTGCTGTGTGTTGGGACCAGCATCTCCACACCCCATGTACATCCTCCTGGGGAATTCTGCATTCCTAGGGATCTGGTATGTCAACTCCACTGTCCCAAACACACTGGTCAGCTTCCTTTCAGAAACCAAGACCATTTTTTCACTGGCTACTTCCTCCAGTTATATTTTCTCTTCTCCATGGGGTCCACTGAGCGCTTCTTTCTTGCAGCTATGGCGTTTGATCGGTACTTTGCCATCTGTCATCCTCTGCATTATGCCACAGTTATGACTGGACAACACTGTTTCAACCTAGTGATTTCCTGTTGGGTGTGTGGCTTTCTCTGGTATCTGGTGCCTGTTACTCTCATCTCCCAGTTGCCTTTCAGTGGCCCTAATGTATTGACCATTTTGTATGTGATTCAGGTCCACTGCTGACCCTTTCGTGTGCTACCGCTCCTATGTCCAAGCTCACCAGCTCCTAAGATCTCTCATTGTCCTCCTTAGCTTCTTTTCCATCTCATATCTTATGCGTTGGTTCTACTTGTTGCTCTATGGTTGCCCTCGGCATCCAGTCGGCCCAAGGCCTTTTATACCTGTGGATCCCACTTGGCTGTGGTGCTGCTATTCTATGGTACCATTATGGTAATGCACGTGAGACCTGGTTCCAGCCACTCAACCCTGATGCCAAAGATCATGACCTTGCTCTATGCAATGCTTATTCCTCCCTTCTGCCCCCTGATTTACAGTCTCAGGAATAAGGAAATGAAAAATGCTTTTGGAAGGCTCTGGAGAAGTTTAAAGTGCCTGTCAAAGTCTCTGGCAGGAGGTCCAGGAGAGATGTGGAATAATCTAGTTTAACAGAGTGTGAAATAGCCACTCTGTTATTTTCACATTTGTACAGTCATTCATTCAATAAATGCTTCCTGAATGCCCGCTCTAAGTTAGACACTTGTCTTATTGTTGGTCTAAGAAGATAATTCAGACATGATCTCTTCCCTCGCCAGACAGTTTTGTGGGGGAGATAGGCAGATATCATAAAATGAAATAAATGCTTTAATCATTAAATGTACACAAAGTTATAGGAAAACAAAGAAATAAACACCTAATTCTCCCTGGAGCTGTGGAGTAAGAAGAGGACTAGTGTAGGGGATATTTCAGCCACCGCAGAGCTAGACCTGTGTGCTCTGTGACACAGAGGGGGAAAACCTTGCACTTCTGCAATTAGATTTTCGATCTCAGTGTGATCTCATTGAAAAGATATGAGATCTTGAATCAGAAGCTCTTTATGAGCCTTAATTCTTCTATTAATCACTTGTTTAATTCAGAGCATCTCAATTTTGACTGTAAAATTGGAATGAAAGGCTGGTGCTGTGGCATAGTTGGTAGAGCCACCACCTGTGGTGCTGGCATCCCATATGGGCACTGGTTTGAGTCCCAGCTGCTCCACTTCCTATCCAGCTCTCTGCTATGGCCTGGGAAAGCAGTGGAAGATGGCTCAAGTCCTTGGGCCCCTGCACCCACATGGGAAGGCCCAGAGGAGGCTCCTGGCTCCTGGCTTTGGATATACAAAGCTCCAGCTGTTGCAGCCAATTGAGGAGTGAACCAGGGCATGGAAGACCTATTTCTCTCTGCCTCTTCGTCTCTCTCTGTGTAACTCTTTCAAGTAAATAAATAAATCTTTTTTAAAAAGTTGGAATGACTATTCCTACTCCACAGAACAGTTAGTATGAGGTTTTCATGAGATGATGGATATGCAAGTTCCTAAAATAAACCCCAGCATGCAGAAAGCACTCAATAGATGTTAATTGCTTAGGAATGATGATGAATTCGTGTTATCATGTTCTTTTTCAGAGTTTTAAAAACTCAGAGCCCCACGCTGGAAGTCATCTCAGTACCTTCAGCAAATCCCTTTCACAACTTTCACTTCAGTTTCCCTTGGGTCGTAGAGAATATTGTTCCTACATTTATACTTACTGCATTTGTGTTTGGTTTTGTTTTGCTTTGGTGTGTGTGTGCATATGTATGTACTCACACGTATATGTGTGCAGAGTATTTTAGATAATTAACCCTCAAGCTGGGTTTTATATACCCTTAGTGACACCGAAGGCCCTCTAAAAGATACACAGCGTGGATAGTTTTTTTTTTATTTGACAGAGTTAGACAGTGAGATATAGAGACAGAGAGAAAGGTCTTCCTTCCGTTGGTTCACCCCCTAAATGGCCGCTAAGGCTGGAGCTATGCTGATCCAAAGCCAGGAGCCAGGTGCTTCCTCCTGGTCTCCCATGCAGGTGCAGGAGCATGGATAGTTTTAATCTCCAGCTCCTCAGTCAACACATGTACATTTTCCCAAACCTGTTCTGCCTCAGAACTCACTTGTGGCTGAAGATTCCAGTGGTCTCGTTTCACACATCCTCTTTCACAATGACTCAATCGTGGTCTCAGATGGAAAAGCTGTCTTTCACCCATTCTGACCTCAGTTTTTATATTGGTCAAATGTATATAAACTTCTTATTGGGGTCATAAATGAATAATTTGCAATGCTGATCTCACTACAGTGAAAGGAAACAAATTCAACCGTCAGTGATAAATGCCTTTGTAAAGTGATTTAAAAGTATTTGTTCTCCATGTCTTTTTGGGGGTCCTTGATGCCAGGACTTTGGTGCAGCTAATTTATTAGGAAGCAGGAATGCGGACAAACTAGCCTGTAAGTGCTGAGGATCATCCATCTGAACAACAGGAGGAGAGGCATTTGTCATGCTTGATCATGGACAGGTTAACTCCTCGTGTCTCCAGCTGGCTCCCAGACCGCACCACAAGCGGTGACTTCAGAAATGGTCCATGACCCAGCATCCTGAAAAAAAGAAAGAATGCTGAAAGCCGGACCAAATAATTCTTTTGGTCTTTAAAAAAAGAAATAGTCTATTCTTGCACAAATTAAATATACCTTTCAAGGAGAAAGTGGTTGAACTATGAAGGAAGTGAGCTTCCCAAATGAAAGATAAAATTTATTTTGCTACTATTACATAGGATATTTTAGGTGTGATTTCTCTTCTCTTTCTTTTTTTTAAAAAATTTTATTTAGTTATAGAAATTTCATGTATTTCATATATACTTATTTAGGAACATAGTGATGGCTTCCACCCTGCTGTCCCTCCTGCCCATGCTCCAAACCTCCTTCCTCCTGCCTCTCACACTCCTACTCTTAATTTTTATAAAGATCTATTTTCAATTTACTTAATGATCATATAGTTAACCCTATACTAAGTAAGAGACTTCAACAAATAATATGAAAAAAAAAAAAAAACACTGTTCCAGAGCAGAAGAGACAAGGGCTGTAACAAGCATCAAATCTCAGAATTTCCATTTCACTCCAATACACTGCATTTTAGGTCCTCTATTAGTCACCCTGGATCAGGGAAAACATACAGTAGTAGTCTTTTGGGGGACTGTTTTATTACACTAAGTATAATGGTTTCTAGTTGTGCCATTTTTTTGCAAAAGACAGGATTTCATTTTTTTACAGCTGAAAAGTACTTCATAGTGCACATATACCACAATTTCTTTATCCAGTCAATAGTTGATGGATATCTGGGTTGATTCTGTATCTTAGCTGTTGTGATGGTGCTGCAATGAACATGGGGGTATAGATAGCTCTTTCATATGCTGATTTGATTTCCCTTGGGTAAATTCCCAGGAGTGGAATGGCTGGATCATATGGTAGGTCTGTATTCAGATTCCTGAGGTATCTCCATACTGTCTTCCACAGTGGCTGCACCAGTTTATGTTCCCACCAACAGTGTTTCAGGGTACCTTTTCCCCCACATCCTCACCAGCATTTGTCATTTGTTGGTTTCTGAATGAGAGCCATTCTAACTGTAGTGAGGCAAAAACTCATTGTGGTTTTGATTTGCATTTCTGTGATGGCTAGCAATCCTGGGCATTTTCTCAAGTGTCTGTTGGCCATTTGAATTTCCTCTCTTGAAAAATGATTGTTAAAATTCTTGCCCATTTCTTAACTGGATTGTCTGTTTTGTTGTTGAATTTCTTGAGTTCTTTATAGATTCTGATTATTAACTGTGTCAGTTGCATACTTTGCAAATATTTTTCTCCCATTCTGTTGGTTGCCTCTTCACTTTGCTGAAGGTTTCTTTTGCAGTGTAGAAGCTTCTCAGCTTGATGTAATCCCATTTGTCAGTTTTCACTTTGATTGCCTATGCTTCTAGGGTCTTTTCCAAGAAGTCTTTGCCTGTGCCAATGTCTTACAGAGTTTCCCCAATGTTCTAAAATAGTAATTTGATGGTATTGGGTTGTAGATTTTGGTCTTTGATCTAGTTTGTAAGGTGTAAGGTGTAAGGTAGGGGTCTAGTTTCAAACTTCTGCACACAGAGACCCAGTTTTCCCCACACCGTTTGTTGAAGAAGGAATTATGACATGTATGTATATATGCATGTATGTGTATATATGCAATGAAATGGTATCCAGCCTTAATAAAAAGGAAATTCTGATGTTTGCAGCAACATGGATATACCTAGAAAACACTGTGCTAAGTGAAATAAGCCTACCTCAGAAAGACAAATACTATATTAGTCCACTTATATACTCCCATTTTCTAATTACATTTAACACACATAAAACTATTCTTCCACAAGAACTTCTAAATGTTTACTCTTATATTCTATGTTTATCATGTATGATCACCCTTTGAGTATCACTGTTGTTTCAAGCCATATCTTCAAGAGCTTTCTAAGAAGTTTCTCAGAAGGAGCTTTAACCCACACAGATGTCTCCCACACTCTGAATTTCTTTTTTTCTAAATATAACTAAAGTCATGAGAGCTTTTACTTTTTAAAAAATATTTTATTTATTTATTTGAAAGGTAGAGTCACAGAGAGAGAGAATCTTCCATCCTCTGGTTCATACCCAAATGGCTGCATTGGCCAGAGCTGGAGCCAGGAGCTTCTTCCAAGTCTCCTGCATGGGTGGAGGGGCCCAAGCACTTGAGTCACCTTCCACTGTTTTCCCAGCCCACAGCAAAGTGCTGGATTGGAAAAGGAATAGTTGTAACTAGAATTGGCACTCATATAGTATGCTGGTGCCACAGGCAGAGGCTTAGCCCACTATGCCACAGCGCCAACCCCTGAATTTTTTTAATACCTTTAAATATAGTGCAATATTGAATTATCATGTGCCTGGGAGATTTTTTATCACTTTGGTTCAGCAAGTGTGGCTTTTACAAATAAAAAACTGATGTAATAAGAACGTAAGTACTCAACAAGTACTTCCAATAAATGCAATATATTTCTAGCACCTATATTAACACAAAAAAATTGGATAACTCTTTTTGCCTTCAAAGAGATTACAATATTGAAGAGGAAAGACATAAATAAAGATAAACATAATATAAAGCAGCTTGCTATTAATATCATATAAAGGACAAAAATTATAAAATAAAGGCAAAGAAAACATACTTTGGTTAAGGGCTTAAAGGAAAGGATTATGGAAAAATGTTATTTGAACTAGAATATCTTGAAGAACAGGCATAAGTTTTAGAGGATGAAGGCGAGAGGAAGTTCAGGTAGAGAGAATAACCACAAACAAGAGAACATGAGAAACCACCAGAGAGAGAGAGAAATACTGTCCAACCTAGCGGCTGAAAGACTAAGTCATTGGAAGTGAATTGAGGGGGAGTTTGAGAATTTGAGCTTTATTGTGTGAATAATGAAACCAGTGATGATTTTTGAGCAGGCAATAACAAAACCAAACCTATATTCTCAGAGTTTCTAAGGACTAAAAATCGTTAACAACTAAGAGACAATAAAAATCTAAATACTATTTTTCCTCCTTAGTCTGTCTTTTTAAGGGGATGTTTTGTTTTGTTTTGTTTCGGTTTGGTTTGGTTTTGTTTAAGCAGTCTGTGGCCTAGAGACCTATGTTGCTAGGATGTGTGCTTCATGAATGCTACTTATGAACATGGATATTTGAGTCATACCATTTAGACCACCCAAATGCCATAGAGTGAAACTGAAGAGACAATGAAAGCAGACACTTCTCTCATATTGAGAAGCCACAGGTTCCTCTGAAATGCTTGTCAATTTTTTTAAAGGTTTATTTATTTATTTGAAGAGTTACACAGAGAGGCAGAGGGAAAGAGAGGTCTTCCATCCGCTGGTTCACTCCCCAGTTGGCTTTAATGGCCGGAGCTACACCAATCTGAAGCCAGGAGCCAGGAGCTTCTTCTGGATCTCCCATATAGGTGTAGGGGCCCAAGGACTTGGGCCATCTTCTACTTTTTTCCCAGGCTATAGCAGAGAGCTGGATCAGTAGTGGAGCAGCCAGGTCTGAACCAGCGCCCATATGGGATGCCAACACTGCAGGCTGCGGCATTACCTGCTACGCCACAGCACCGGCCCCTGCAATGCTTGTCAATTAAATGTCTTACACTTTCCTCTCATATGTAAAGAAATATTCCATGTTATGCTTCCAGAAGTTGTTTCTAATTTCTATCTGCTTTTATTGAACATCCTAGCAAATCTATATGTCAATATTTTCCTTACTTTGCTCCAGAAAATGAATGATGACATCTGGACTGCCCTCAGATTCATGTGAGAACTTTTGTTTGTACTTTGTTATTTTTTTCTCAGATTGAGCATCCAGGAAGTTTTTATTGAATTCACATTTCATTAGGCAAGCTGTTTGTAAATAATGGTGCATTTGAAAAGTTGTCACTACTCTTTACTGAATCTTCAGAGAATACGTCATCATCAACTTTCTAAAGATCTGTTGGCTTAGAAGAGGTGAACTTTCCTAATGCTACAGAGACCACATCCCAGGAGAACAGGAGATAAAGAAAGTGCATTCTTAACTTTCTGTGCAGCAATAAAGCTGTCTAGCAAGAGCCAGGACAGTCTTTATAAAACAAGGTCATTGGAGATTTGGTTCATGTCAGAACTGTAAGAGGTGTAGCTTCTGAGCGCTGCTGAGTAACATGACACCTCTGCCTCTTTCCATAATTTCTTAATGTCAATTTAGCAATGCTTCCGGTTTAGAGCATTTTTAAGAGATACACAAAAACAGCTCCCACCTAACTATACTAAAAGATATCCCAGAGCACTGATGTGGAGATCAGGTCAGAAGAAAATATTCTTTCCAAAGTTTTGTGTTTGTACCCAAAGTGTAAACTTTTGACCTCCTTGCATATTACCAAAACAAAATTTTTCCAGGTATCTTACATCTTGATGTCTTTTCTTTCATCTGAGTCAAGTTTGCCTATGACAAAGAAAGTATTTTGACTTCTGCCATTTGGCATATTAGGGAAATTAATTCTAAAATTTATGAGAAACCCTTAAAATCTACATGTTCATGCCTAGATTTTTTTTGAAAAATTTTTGTACATATTGACTAAACCAATATGAAACAGAATATATATATGTATACATATGTATATATATACATATATATGTATGATAGTGACTGTATCAGCCTGTAGAATTAAGGTGAAAGGTTAGACAAAAATTTAAAGCTATTGTCTTCTACAGAAGACTCTACAGCATTACAAAAGGCAGTGTTGGTAAGTAACATTATAAAACTGAATTATAGAACTGCTCAAACTAACAGAAATAGAAATTAAGCGATTTAAAGACTTTACTGCCAACTTACTGCAAAATATGTTCAGTTCTTTTGCATATTTAAGTAATGTTGAGTACTATTTTAACTCAGCTATAAATAATCATATTAAATGGGTTTTTTTCTGGATCTGTTGTAGTTATCAGTTGGATTTAGAATAAGATAGTAATGCATTTATTAAGTATAAACTTTGTGTTAGAAGCTAAATATAAAATATCATAGATCACACCTTTTCTCAGATAGCAAGCTTGCAAAATGAGTTTAACTTTGTTCAGTTCTATCATGGCTTCATAGTAAGGGAAAGATTTAGAAACATGTAAAATTTGCTTGTGTGTAGCAATCTATTCACTATACCCAAAACTCAAAGTATACAGCCAAGAAAGAGTAAATCATATTATCTTCCTATCTGAGAATTACCTCTTTAAGCTAGTGCTAACTGATAACCCTCTGCTTCTTGAGCTTGTAGGTGATGTCTCAATGAATGTCTCTGAACCAGGTTCCAGCATTGCTTTTGTAAGAGAATTTATACTACAAGGTTTCTCTTGTGAGTTGAAGATTCAGATCCTCCTCTTCTCACTCTTCACAACAATATATGCTCTGACCATAACAGGGAATGGGGCCATTGTTTGTGCCCTATGGTGTGACCAGAGACTCCACACCCCCATGTACGTGTTCCTGAGGAATTTCTCCTTTTTGGAAATGTGGTATGTCTCTTCTACAGTGCCCAAGATGTTGAACAACTTTCTCTCAGAAAAAAAAAGAATCTCCTTCCCTGGATGTTTTCTCCAATTTTACTTCTTTTTCTCTTTGGGTACATCTGAATGCTTTCTTTTGACTGTCATGGCCTTTGACAGGTTCCTTGCTATCTGTCGCCCCTTGCACTATCCTAATACCATGACTCTACATCTCTGTACTAAACTGGTCATTATCTGCTGGGTTTGTGGATTTGTTTGGTTCCTGATCCCCATTGTTCTCATCTCCCAGCTGCCCTTCTGTGGCCCCAACATTATTGATCATGTTGTGTGTGACCCAGGGCCACTATTTGCATTGGCATGTGCCTCTGCCCCAAAAACGCAACTGCTTTGCTACACTCTAAGCTCATTGGTTATCTTTGGTAACTTCTTCTTTATTCTTGGGTCTTACACTCTTGTCTTAATCGCTGTGTTGCGTATGCCTTCAGCCACTGGGAGACATAAGGCTTTCTCCACCTGTGGGTCTCATTTGGCTGTGGTATCTCTGTTTTATGGTTCTTTGATGGTCATGTATGTGAGCCCAGGACTCGGACATTCTGCTGGGATGCAAAAAGTTGCAACTCTCCTCTATGCTATGGTGACCCCACTCTTCAACCCTCTCATCTACAGCCTCCGTAATAAAGAGATAAAGACAGCACTAAGGAAAGTTCTGAGACTCCCAACATAATCTAAGACAAATTAGATGATTCCCCCATGATCAGATCAGTACACTCTAACAAGAGGCAATAAAGTTTATGTACTAATCTATATTTATAAATATAAATTTAGTAATACTATCTATGGGGCTCTTATAAAATTAAAGTGACCAGATTATACAGATAAGTAGAAGTGTTTGTTTTTTCCCTTGGCATTTAGACTTAATGTGTTTTAATTGAGGAATATGCATATTGATGTTTTTCTGTATAGTTATCATATGATTCATCTGTGATAAAAAATTTCTTATTCTATTTGATAATTTAAATTTATAATTCTGGGATCAATAAAGATATGTCACTTTGTCTATTTGGCTGTTTTTCAATAGAAAAATAAAAGTATGTGTTTTCTTATTGTGATCTTTAATATATTTAGCTTTATTATTTTGGTGATTCCACCATTCCTGATAAATAAGCATTAGAAGCAGTTTACCAAAATTTCTACGGGACAATATTCTAGCTTATTAGCATCCAGACGTATGTTGTTTTCTTTACACATAACCTCTTTGTAAGCCCCTAAAGGTTAGATTCTAATTCCACAAAGAGTAATATCAGTCAAAATATCCAGCAATTCAGTGTCCCAGGTACCAAATATTTTTACCTAAATAAAATGTAAAAAAAACTTGGTGGGTCAGGTGGTTGAGTTTTAGATGATAAAATATCTCACCTGAAAATTGGAGAGTGAAATTATATTCCTGAGACAAATTATTACCCTTCAAAAAGATAAATAATCACCCACTGGTATTTGTTGATGAAACTGTAAAAACAGCATTAGGAAAAATTTTAGAGGCTAAAAGTACCCAGAATTCAATCACTGTAATGCAACTCTTTTTATTTACAAGTGTATGTCTATTTTGTTTAATGTAGTATCAAATCTGTTCTTCTAAGTTATAGCAAGTTTATAATTAGTATTTTAATTTTCCATTGAATAAATAGGGTACAGATTTTTAATTTTTATGTGGTGAAATGAACATTTTCCCACAAGAAAGACCTTCCTCCCAAGGAGTTAGGAGCTGACTTGTGAAAGATACGTGAAAAGGATTTTATGAGGGGCATTAAGAAAAAACCAAGAATGACCTCCTACATAATTAACAGTGGCACAATCAGACATAAGATGACTGAACACTCCAAAACCCTCCTTCCATCCACTATTATTCCTTTTGGGAGGCATTATATTATTTCCATTTTTTGTTATAAGATAATGTCTCAGTTAAATCTTCATAAAATTTTAGAACTCATCATCTAATCCAAAATAGAATTGCAGCAGAAAATCCAGGATATTGGAATATTATGTGCCTACAATTATCTTTTTAGAGTTTTTTTTTTTTTTAAGATTTATTTTATTTATTTGAAAGAGAGAGGTAGAGACAGAGAGAGGGAGGTCTTCCATCAGCTGGTTCACTCCCCAGATGGCCACAACTGCCATAGATGCACTTATCTGAAGCAAGGAGCCAGGAGCTTCTTTCGGGTCTCCCACATGGATACAGGGGCCCAAGGACTTGGGCCATCTTCTACTGCTTTCCCAGGCCATAGCAGAGAGCTGGATCAGAAGAGGATCAGCCAGGACTAGAACCAGCACCCATATGGGATACCTGTGCTTCAGGCCAGGGCTTTAACCCACTGTGCCACAGGGCCACTCCTAGAGTGTTTTTTTGTTTGTTTGTTTTTGTTTGTTTGTTTAAATTAGAACAGATTCTTGAGACAGAGATGATTATTCCATTGAAAATGTAAGAATGAGGCCAGCGCCGCGGCTCACTAGGCTAATCCTCCACCTAGCACCGCCAGCACACCAGGTTCTAGTCCCGGTCGGGGCGCCGGATTCTGTCCCGGTTGCCCCTCTTCCAGGCCAGCTCTCTGCTGTGGCCAGGGAGTGCAGTGGAGGATGGCCCAAGTCCTTGGGTCCTGCACCCCACTGGAGACCAGGATAAGTACCTGGCTCCTGCCATCGGATCAGCGCGGTGCGCCGGCCGCAGCAGCCATTGGAGGGTGAACCAATGGCAAAAAGGAAGACCTTTCTCTCTGTCTCTCTCTCTCACTGTCCACTCTGCCTGTCAAAAAATTAAAAAAAAAAAAAAGAAAAGAAAATGTAAGAATGAATTTGTAAATTTTGACATTAACATTCCAGAAAAATAAGTGCTGTTTTGATTTGAGAATGTCATGTTTCTTAGTCAATTTTGCTTATTTGAATTCTGCTGAATAATTCTCACTAGTGCAGAGAAAGTGTCCTATCTCTATGTCCCTTTCCAGGATATATGACTTTTAAATATCCCACAATCACCCAACAGCTCAAAGAACAAGTACCCAATGCAGGCAATATCTCCAGTTTCAGAACTCTGCCTTTCATTACTAAGTTAATCACTAGTTTCTCAATGGTCTCTTCTTACAATCTCAAACACATAATTTGTTCACAAATCCTTTCCATTGTGCTAAATTATTTGACAAAACAACTATTTTTATACCATATTTTTGCAAAACCAAACCGAATCCCAAAGAAAGACAGAGGGTAAGAGAAAAAGTAAGGAAAGCAGTAAAATGGTAACAGTTTTTTTTTTTTTTTTTTTACCTGAGCATTTAGGTTTTCAAAAGAACACAGCAGGGTGACATTTAAAAATGATTGTGCTGATTAGCAGTTTCTTTGGGGGAAATGAAAATAGAAAGTTCATATTTTCCACTTTCTAAATGAGTCATAGTATTTATTAGATATTTTTAAATGTGTGTTAAACTGACCAGATATTGAATTATAGTTCATTCCTTCCCAAAGCAAAATTTATTTCTACAACCAAACTTTATGTACATTCAAAATTACTAGAAAAGTTAGGACCTGGAGTTCATGAGTAGACAATATTACAAGAAAAGACAAAGTATGAATTTATCAGTTTATTAACCACAACAGGGTTAGCTCTTTTGTCAACATTGGAAAGAATAATGATCATTTTGAGCCACTTATTTTGTGCCAAGCACTATTCTGACTTTTCTATGTTATTTTATTTATTTCTATATTATTTTATTTACTACTGATGACATCCCAAAGAGGTCAGTCAGTGTTACTGTATCTCCAACTTACTAAGGATGAAAAAGGCACAAAAAATAACTTAATTAAAGATGACATCTGGCCCCAGGCAGGAGAACTACAGTGCCACACTCTTGACCACTGTAGAGGAAAAGACCCAACACTCCAGAATCAGATAGATTTGTTTAAATATAAATGCTGAGATCCCAGTGGAAAGAATGGGCCATCAAAGAAGGAGGTACCTTTCTCTGAAGGGAAGAGAGAACTTCCACTTTGATTATGACTTTGTCTAAATAAGGTCGGAGTTTGTGAACTCAAGAGGCTTCCATAGCCTTGGCAGCTCATGACAAGAGTCTCGGGTGATTACTGACATCATAAATAAAAGTGCCAATTGTTAAATCAACAACAGGAGTCACTGTGCACTTACTCCCCAGGTAGGATCTCTGTCCTTAATGTGTTGTACTATGAGAATTAACGGTAAAAATAGTCTTCAAACAGTAATTTATACTTTGTGTGTCTGTGTGGGTGCAAACTGTTGAAATCTCTACTTGGTATACACTAAGTTGATCTTCTGTATACAAAGCTAATTGAAAATGAATCTTAATCAAGAATGGGATGGGAGAGAGTGTCAGAGATGGGATGGTTTGCAGGTGGGAGGGTGGTTATGGGGGAAGAACTGCTATAATCCAAAAGTTGTGCTGTCAAAATTTATATTTATTAAATAAAAGTTCTCTAAAAAAATCTAAATGCTATCACTAATTCTGTCAGTTTGTACAAATTACTTGACCTTTCTACTTTGATATGCGTAATAATCAATAAAATGGAGCTGATGATAATATTTTATCAGACAGTGACTGTGATGAATAAAAGAAGTAAATTGAATCTGAAACAGTACTATGGAATCAATTCTAATTAGTAAAATTAATGTATTTCATTTGTAAAGCTCTTTTTATCATTTACAAAACGCTTTCCTAGTTTCTCTGTTCAGCCTCAAGGTTTCTGCCACATAACTAGAGTAGGATTTGCCATACTCGTTTCTTAGACCAGACTCAAAAACACCAAACATATTGCCTAAGTTCACATAGAGTAAGGGAAGAAATCAAATATGTTGAATCAAGTTCAGTTAGAGTTCTGATGTTCCATATATCCACTCCTGGGAACTGTGTCTAAGTTCTACCTTCAAAACTACATGGCCATACATACTAAAGAGCTGGATATATCCTAGAAATGAATACTGTAAAGGCAAAATAAGTTTAATAGAAACACTTTTTTTTCATTTGATTTAAGATAATAAGTATAAAAATAATATGAAAATTAATTTAAAGTATTTAATATGTAAAATAGTATGCTATTGAGTGAAAAGTGAAGATATGAAATAATATTAATTATACAATCTTAAATAAATATAGAGTAATGATATTAAGGGTAATTTAGATTCTGTATTTCCTCTTTTCCTTTAGTAGAATACTTCAAAAATTTGTGGAAATAAAATTAAAAGTTGTTTGTTCCTGTGTAAAAACATTTTCAAATCCTTGAAAATGCAGATTATTTAAACTAGGCCTGGATTTCAAATTTTTTTGCACCAAAATAAACATCTTTTAATTCCACTTTATACAAAGCTTTTGAAGTACTCTTGTTATCTATTTATCTCCTAAATTACCCATGATAAGCATGTGTACTTCATCCAATTTTGAAAGGATATACATTTTTAAGAATGCTTACAAATGGACATATAATTTAGAATGATGCTTTTAGATGTGCCACACACCTAAGCATTCTCCTGTACTTGATGTGTAACAAAGGATAATGCTGCTGTTTTGGGCAAGCTTTATAGCATGTGTTTGCACAGAGCTTATAAATTAAATGGGTCTATATTACCTTTGAACATTAGTCATATAAACTATACCTATTTTTCATTTGCAACAATTTAGGAAAACAAAGAGACAAAAACTGGAAAACAACAGTAAGAACTAATATCTACTATTTTATAAGGAATCATATAAGTGAACAGTTACCAAACTAACTGATGCAAATAAGATTTTCATGTAACTTTATTTAAGTCAAAGAGAGAGAGAGAGAGAGAATCTCATCCATTGATTCTTTCTCAAATACTTGCAACAGCTTGGAATGGCCCAGGACAAAGCCAGACTGCTAAGAATTCAGTCCAGGTCTCCCACATGAATGGGAGGAACCCGATTACTTGAGCCATCACTGCTGCTTCTCCCAGTCTACATTAGCAGGAAGATGGGGTCAGTAGCCAGAGCTAAGCAACCCAACTTGGACACAGGCATCTTGATCACCATCTTAGCTGCTAGGCTAAATGCCTGCCCTCAATAATTATTTCTTACTCCACATTCTACTTACTTAAGTATTAGAAACAAAAAGAAAACTCAAGATCTATCAAGGGACCCAGAAATGTTGCATGCATTAGACTCAGATTCAACTAATAATAGAAGCTACAATAACAGCAGCTTATGCAAGATAAAGATTTAGGATTTTTTTTTCTTACATAAACACTTCTGGAAGCAATCAATTCACAGAAGTTCGGAGACAAACAGTTCCAAAATGTAATTAGGGACCCAAGGCTTCCTGCATTTTTGATAAATTCATGTATTTCCTTTTTAAAAATTATTTATGTAAATAGAATAAATTTCATGTATTTCTTATATGCAGTTTTAAGAACATAATGACACTCACCACCCTATCCCCATTCTCCTTCCACCTTTCTTTCTTATTTTTATTTTAATTTTGCAATGACATACTTTAAAGTTACTTTATAATCACAAGCTTAATCCTCCACTAAATAAAGAATTCAACAAGTAATGAGAAGAAAAACCACTGTTCCTCAGGAGAATGACAAGGGCCTATGCACCATAATCAAATATCAAAATACCAATTTCTCTCATATAAATTACATTTTTTCCATAGGTTTCCTTTTGCAAGGAGAGTTTATTATCTGAGGATGGCAAGAGAATCTTCAGAGAGCAGAAAACAGGTCAGCATACAAATAACTTATATTGTTAATTGAAAACACTTACGTGAAATAATGACCATTATAAACAAGGATAGCTGTGATGGTTAATTTCTTAGATGAGCACACTGTCACCAGAATAAAATCAAAGCTGTATTAGACAAGAAGAGAAGAAAATTAATGATGCAGCTAATAGCTCTGTCATATTTGAAATAAGCAAAATATAAGAAAATTAATATAGGGATGGAAGTTTAGAAGTAGTGTCTTTTCTTAAAAGTCTCAATTTAGGAAGTTGATATTCCTCTTCAGTAAATCTTTACAGCCAAGTAAACAGCAAGAGAGATATATGTGGCGGATAGAGAGAGAAAGAGAGAAAGAGAAAGTGCTTCCATCTGCTGGTTCACTCAACAAATGGCTGCCATGGCCAGGGCTGAGTCAAACCGAAGTCAGGAGGCAAGCATTCCACCTAGGTCTCCACATGACTGACGGGGTCCTGCCACTGCCTTCCCAGGCACATTAGAAGAGAGCAGGGTCAGGAGCACAGTAGCTGGGACTTGAACTGGCGCCAAGATTTGGGATGCTGGCCTCACAGGCAGAAATCTAACCTACTGCATCACAATGCTGGCAGGATAGAAGAGATTTTTAAAAACAAATTTTAGGGGCCGGGGCCACAGCATAGTGGGTAAAACTGCTGCCTGCAGTACCGGCATTCCATATGGGTGCTGGTTCGAGTCTCGGCTGCTCCACTTCCAATCCAGCTCTCTGCTGTGGCCTGGGAAAGCAGTGGAAGATGGCCCAAGTCCTTGGGCCCCTGCACCTACATGGGAGACCTGGAAGAAGCTCCTGGCTCCTGGCTTCGGATTAGTGAAGCTTCAGCTGTTGCAGCCAACTGGGGACTGAACCAATGGATGGAAGACCTCTCTCTCTCTGTCTCTGCCTCTACCTCTCTGTAACTGTGCCTTTCAAATAAATAAATAAATCTTTTAAAAACAAATCTTAATAAAAAACAGAAGCTCTAAAGATCCTAAAATCAAGAATGTGTGTGAAAAATAATTTTTTTCCCCAGTCTACAAAAAGTCCTTCAGGTGACACTTGAAAATTGAATGCTGGTGACAAGATATGAGAAAACTCATTGCAAGAATAAAGGTAGAAAAATATTCCAAAGGGAGTTCAACTATAAATCCAAATGTGGAAGCCCTTCCTCTTTGGGATATTAACTTATCCAAACCCTACCCAGTTCAGATTGCATGATTTCTCTCCAGAGGTGTCCCAAGGCCTAAGCTCTCTGGAAAAGAACATTTATCATTCAGATAGAAACTGACCTTTCCTTTTCTCCCGTCTGCTCTGCACTCCCAACCTCATTGGAAAAGTTGAGATCCTTCCAGAAATAAAATGAGGCCCCCCTAACCTGGCTGTAAAAGAACTTAGTATTAAGTGTGTTAATTAATGTTGGGACGACAGAGGGTGAGAGCAGAAATGCAGACAGGTGGGCTCTTCTGTGGGAAAGGAAGCGCTCCTGGGGAGGGAAGAAGGAACTTGCTGTCTCCGACTTCTGGAGGATATGATACAAACTCAGCGAGAACTGAAATCTCCAAACAAGAGTGGAAAAGAGGAAATTGCGCAAATGGTCCAGCCTGGGGAGCAGTCGAGGGGTTAACAGGGCATTCTCCCCTTTCCCCGGGACATCCCACCTCATAGCTAATTAACAGCCCTGTCCCATCTATGCCACATCTGAGGCCAGTGTGGTGGGAAGAATCATGGAAGAGAGGACTTTCACTCCTTGGCTGTAGAAGGGAAGAACGCTTCCTGAGAAGTTTCAGCTCTGTCACCTCTGAAATTCTGTTTCCTCCTCTGGGAAATAAACAGCTACAGCTCTGCCAACCGTGTAAGTATCGGACAAGGGGGAGGACCGATTAGCAGAATTGTTGGGAAGGAGTAAAAACTGAGAATTATCTCTACCTGGAGATCCTGTGTCTCTCCAGGGGATGTCAGAGGCCGGGAATTAGGCAAGGACAAGGCAGAGAGTTAAGAAGAACATTTGAGTTAAGACTTGTCACAATTTCTACAAATTGGGAACTGTCGGTTGTGGGCCATCTGTATCTGCTTCAATACCAAACATGATTTCCTGGAGACAAAGGTCCAGTCCATAGCTCACAAGTTTGCATATTCCCAGGATCTCTTTCCCGTGGCCAATGTGTATCTTTGGTCCTAGAGAGTGAAGCTCCCAAATAACATACTATTTTTTAAATATTTTATTTATTTATTTGAGAGGTACAGTTACAGGCAGGGAGGGAGAGAGAGGTCTTCCATCCACTGGTTCACTCCCCAAATGACTGCAATGGCCGGAGCTGTGCCAATCCAAAAACAGGAGCTTCTTCCAGATCTCCCACATGGGTGCAGGGGTCCAAGCACTTGGGCCATCCTCCACTGCTTTCCCAGGCCATAGCAGAGAGCTGGATTGGAAGAGGAGCAGCCAGGCTATTTAATACAGTCAGAGCTCAATAAAACAGCCTCAGAAATGCACAAGACTAGCCATGGAAGTAGAATAGAGCATCAGGTGTACAGAGTGAAATCCACAAGAACATTGATGGCTTCGCAAGGTGGAGGCATCTAGATGGTGAGCTCCCAGGCACCCTCAGGCCTCCTCTGGACTCTCCCTGATGTCCGAGGCACATACAACAGTGCTGGTGCTGCAGCTGAAGGCGTATGACTCAAGGAGAGGCAGTTTCAGTGCTTCCAGAGTTTGTGCATGTTATCTCCATGGTAACTCAAGGAAAGACAGAGAAGTCTATGTCTTTTAATACTAAGTCTTGCCTTTCCCAGGCACAGGTGACTGAATAAGCCCCAAGTGTCTCAGGAAAGCAATGCCTTCAATTGCGGTTAACTGACATCTATCATTCCCAGAGCATCCTTCTGTTCTCCCTCCTCTTTCCATCATTCCAAGGACCTAAATGGAGAACATGTGATTACTGCCAATTTCATATGGGCATTTGGAGGCCGTATCACAGAGGAGGGATGAGCAGAAAGAAAGTGGGCAGTGCAACCTCCTCTCTCCAGCGTGGAATTCAGAACACAAAAGGATCATGACCTTATGTTTCCTTTAACTGCATTTCAGCCTAATCACTGTGCCGCTGACTTTCTCTGCTTTCTTGATAGCTGACCTGAACTAAGGTTTTCTGTTTTGCATAATCTCAATAGAGTTCACTTACAATGCTTCCTTATTCCTACCTGAGGCCTTCTGTGGTGGAAGCGTCAATCTTGGAAACAGAAAATATGGGCGACAGTCCCTACACAGATGCATTCCACTTTGACCTTAAACAAGCAAACTTGCTTCTTTGACACTGAACTGCCTCATCTGTGAAATGGAAAATAATATGTCACATGGTTTAAGATCAAATGAGACTGTATGTCCTTTTGTTATGTCTGCATTATTAACATGCTTTTTCTTCTCCAATATACTCCGTTATGGACAAGTAAATTTGCTGCCTAATCTTAAAGTGAGCCATATACACCTGCGGGCCTCCCTCAACTTAATTTAGCAACCTGAGCCAATCATATGCAACAGGAAGATTGGGAAGTAGCAGCAGTTTCTCTGCTGGGACCCCTCACAGGCTGTGAGTATCTGGCCCTTCTTGCTGCCCTCTTTTTCTGTCTCCCCTGGGTCCCCACCTGCAGGAATTCACACATGAGTATGCAGAACGTGAGTTCCCTATTTGGTCCAATGTCGCCTACATGTCATGATCACAGAGCCGTTTCTCCCACATGTTCCAGAACTTCCAAGGACGTTATATACATCATAAAACCCTGGGCTGGGATTGTTCATGTTTATAGGATGTGACACCCTTATTATTTCTGCTCTTTTCCTAGAAGCAGCACCAAGGATGAAAAGGTGTCTGTTTTCTACTCTGCTCCTACCGTGCATGATGAGCTTCAGCTTGAGGAGCTGGGCATGGACCGCCCCTGACTGCACCGTAGGAGACGCGTCCCTGTTGTCTAACCTCTCTTTCTACGTCCCTTTCTGTTCTTTGGTCCCAGGACTGCACCTTTTTGCATCATGCTCCAATGTGAAAGACCTGCCTCAGACCCTGGCTTCAGTGCCTCGGGACATAGAAGCACTCTGTCTGCAGGGCACAGTTCCTATCCTGCCGGATGATGCCTTTGGCCTTTTCTCTTCTCTACAACTGCTGAGGCTGCAGCTGGGGACCACCAAGGTTGCAGCTGGGGCATTTCAAGGGTTGCACCAGCTGCAGCACCTCTCCTTTGAGCATCATGCTCCCTGTTGTTTGAATCTGTTTCTCCCTCAAGATACCCTGGAGTCCCTCCGATTTCTCAACAGCATTTCATTTCAAGGCTACTGCTTGAATTACAGCCAGAGCATCCAGTTACCGATCAGCCTTAGTCATCTGACCCTGAAGCACAGCTGTCTGACAGAGCTGCAGGAGCTGCAAAAGCTCTTCCCAAACCTTGGCTCTGGTTTCTCCCCTACACATAGCCCCAGACCATGGTCTCCCTTCCTGGAAGTCCTGGATCTGTCTTCCAACCTGCACCTGAGTCAAGTGGGTGTTGGAGCCTTGAAAGGCCTCCATCTCCGCTCCCTGAGATTGGATGGCACTCCACTGAACACAACAGGCTTACTGGACTCAGGATTGCTCCACCTGGACTCCCTCTCCCTTGTACATACAGGTGTAAACAAACTACCTGGGAATGTGACAGGCTACTTTGAACTTGGAGCTCTTGATCTGGGGAGGAACCAAATCCAGAACATAAAGGATGAGGATCTCCCAAGCCTGCACTCCCTGGAAGTCATCAGTCTCTACGCCAACAGCCTGCAGCTGCTTCCTCCTGGGTTCTTCAGTGCCCTTCCCCAGCTCCAGAGGCTCAACCTTTCCATGAATAAACTGGGTCCAACCCTGGTGCTTCCGCAGGGCTGGAGCTCAAACCTCAAAGTGTTAGATCTGTCCCATAATGAGCTCTGTACCCTACCCCATGGGGCATTCTCCTCTCTTCCTCAACTCCAGGAGCTCTGGCTGAGTGGTAACAACATCTCCAGCTTGTCCAGTGAGAACCTGGAGGGACTGAGACAGCTCAAGTCCCTAGATCTGAGTTGGAACCAAATTAAGGTGCTCAAGCCAGGCTGGCTCTCCCCTCTTCCTGCCCTAACTTCATTGAATATTCTGGGCACCTATTTAGAGACCATCTCAGGCAGGCATCTCCAGGGTCCCCGCAAGCTGAGCCATCTGCAGCTGGGTTCTGTGGCTATGCTAGATATCTACCCTCCCTGGCCTCCAGAGCTGCTCAGCTTGGAGGTCTGGGCACAACCCAGTGTATTTTTTCATGTTGCAAACGGAGAACCCTTCTTATTCTTGGAGAACCTCACCTTGCAGTCTTCCAATGTGGTGCTAGTTCCATTCAATGCCACAATCCATTTCCCATCTCTACGGCACCTCACTTTGCGAGGCTGCAGCCCCTTCATTTTCTCAAGCCCTGATTCCAGATTCTTCCCACAGCTTCCTCTCCTGGAGCACTTGCACTTCTGGTCTGGTCATGAGGATGCAGAAAACCTTCATCTGTCAATAACGCCCAAGCTGCGAGTGCTGGAGTTGGGGGACATGGACTTCTTCTATAACTTAGGTTCAGTGACACTGGAGGAGGTACTGAAGGAAGTACCTCAGTTACAAGTGTTAGCATTGAGCCACCTGAACCTTAGGAACCTCTCCATCTCCACCTTCAGGGGGTTGGGTCTCCTTCGGCTGCTGTTGCTCAACTCTGAATGGGACCTGGGGTTGGACAGCAGCCTCCAGGAGATGATCCCCCAGATGCCTGAATACGTTTATTTCTCCAATGTCACCTTCATATGCCAGTGTGAAAGCTCTTGGGTGGGGCCTTGGGCAACAGGTGCCCCGAACACCTTTGTGTATGGGTTGGGGGACTCCATCTGCATGGCTAATGCCTCTGACTACTCCAAGACTCCCCTGCTTTCCTTCCTTTCTAGTCACTGTGCACACGATCCGAATTTCCAAGGTTTTCTCATTAGCTTCATTCTGGTGCTCCTGCTGATGATCTCTGCACTGCTTGGCTGCCCCAAATGGCCCTGGCTTCGCCAGCTGCGGAAACTATTTTATGCCTGGTGGTGGAAATTGTGTGGGCGGGGCCCCAGAAGCGCATTCCGCTATGATGTCTTCATATCCTATTGTGAGCAAGACCAAGCCTGGGTATTGGACAAACTGGTTCCTGCCCTGGAGAAGCCTCCTCCGGCTGGGGAGGGCTTGAGGCTCTGCCTGCCCGAGAGGGACTTTGGGATTGGTCAGGACAGGATGGATGCTACAGCTGCCAGCATGGAGAGCAGCAGAACCACCCTCTGTGTGCTCAGCTGCCAAGCGCTGAGAAGTCCCTGGTGCAACCTGGAGTTAAGGCTCGCCACCTACCATTTGGTGGCCAGGCCTGGGGCTGCTCGCCTCACGCTGCTGTTTCTGGAGCCCATTGATCGGCGGCAGTTACACAGCTACCACCGCCTTACCCGCTGGCTCCAGAAGGAAGACTATTTTGATGTGCCTCAAGCGGGGGTGCAGTGGGATGATTTCTGTGAGCAACTTCGGAAAAGACTAAAGAGAGCGGAACAAGAACGAGAAGACTGCGTGCTGTGAGAGACTTAGCCACACAGAGATGTCTTTCAGCAAGGGCCTGGGTGTCATCACGTAGCTGGACAGCACTTACTTCAAGCCCATTCTCCACACCAAAATCGATGCAGATAGACACCCGGTCTTGAGGCCAGCATTGAGGCCGGCATTGTGGTGTAGTAGGTTAAGCAGCTGCCTGCATCCCATATGAGCAGTGGTTCAAGTCTTGGCTGCCCAGCCCCAGCCATTGTGGCCATATGTTAAGTGAACATATGGATGTAAAATCTCTCTCCCTCCCTCTCTCTCCCTCCCTCCCTCCCTCTGTGTGTGTGCACAGGTGCATGCACACACGGCTCAGTCTCTCTGTAACTCTTTCAAAATAAATAAATTTTAAAAAAGACAAAACACGTCCAGTCTCAATGGGAGCATCTATTTGAAAGCATCTGAAAATAGATATTCTTTCAAAAAACAGTTCAGATACCTGGTGGGCCTTTCATAACACAAGTCATCCCCCAAAAAGGAATACACAAAAACGGAATCTCATGAGCATTTTTTAAAATGAATTTATTCTCTCTCTGTTGAAAGCTAGTGCTTGTATGGTAAAAAGCTATTTTATCCCAGAGGAATAATGTCGTAATCAATGAACAACAGTGAATCAATGAACAAATATGTGAATTCCCTGATGTTACATTGAAACTATGTTTTCAATTACCTAAGATCCGATCAATTCAGAGCTTCCCTAATTCATGAGATTCTCACAGTATTACATGGGTGAGAACAATAGTTTTCTCTATTACCCATGAGGAATTATAGTACATAAAAGTGTACTAAATCATAAAGTTCACATCTGATGTCTGGTTTTCTAAGCCATTATCTGGCACTCTGTTTTCTACTCTCTACCAGTTATCTCTTATTTTGTTACAACGTTAAGGTAGGTAAAATTGGAACATCTTAAAGGTACACATATATGACCTATTTCTAAGAATATTTTTGGAGTCCCAGAAACTTTGCATAAAATTTTAAGTACCGCCCAAAAAAAGGATAAAGTACATTGATTAGAATGGAACATCATAGACCCTAAAGAATAGTAATTCTAGTAATGTTGAGTGCTATGGAAAAAGTTCAAGTGTAACATTAAAAAAATTGAAAAATTGCATGTACTATTATTCTAGTTTTGAAAAGAATTGCATAGTCTCTATTTTGTAAAATATGAAGAAAGACTAGAAATACAAATTAGCAATGGCTCTTGGAAATAAGATTGTGAAAAAATTTAGATTAAAAATTTTTTTAATTTTTAATGATTGTGATTTAAACTGTATTATTTTCTGTTATTGATTTTTATATGTTATTGTTATTTCCATAATAATAAAAAATTATCTTTGAAAAATTAACACCTTATTGTACACCAATTAGTTTAATTCTCTACATTCTGCTTTTACAGTGTGCACGTGGGAGAAACGATGAAAGCTGAAATCTGTAATCATACAGCAATAAGAGTAAAAAGCCATAAACATACTATTTCAGAGATCATCTATTACATGAATGAACCAAAGATGGCTTCATTGTCAGGGATGCTGGGTTGCTTGCATCTTCAGAGCAAGATGAATTCCATTCACTCTAAAGTCCTCCAGTGCCAAAATTTGTATATGCCCAATTGTTTTATATAGTCTAAATAAGACGATTTGTTAACCACTTAGAGCCTACCTCCTTTATACGCTGTGCCCAGCATTAGCTAGTCATAGAAAAGATAGACTTAGGGTTGTAAAGCTCCCAAGTCGCTCTGTCTTTTAAAGTTTCATGCACAGGACGTCCATATGGGGCTCTTACACCATGTCACATGAACATTAAAGCCTCTCTTGCCACACTGCCACCAGCGGTGCCTGGTCCTCTTCCCCTTCTGAGTAGCAGCCCCAGTGCCACAGTTTCTGGGAGCTCTCATGCTACGAGGGGCTGCCCCAGCATGCAAACTGGCCAAGGCAGCTCCCCCAAAACGCGTGCCTGCTATTTCCACCATAGGCTCATACATTCTCCTTTGCAAAGCCCCTAAATCGCAGGTCCTTAGATCACCTGGCCAATCACTTAAGTTTTGACTCAGAAAGTAGAATATTCACAAACTCACACACACTTGGAAAAAAGGCAGCAATTTCTCCAGTTAATAGAGTTGGACTACTTAGAGTTCAATGCTAAGACTCTGGGACATTGCTGACCAAGCCACAGGTCCAGCGTTACCTTCTCTCCCCCACACCCTTTGTCTGCTATCAACCAGTAATTCTTAGAAAATAGTACTCATTTTTATCAAGGATAACAAAAACTATTATTAATTAACTATTATTAATTATTAATTAACTATTATTAATTGTGGTAATAATAGTGTTTATTTAAGTGTTTGATTTTTCTTTAGCTGAAGTGAGAATGAAAGAACAAATTCAATAGTCTACAGTTAGGACAATAGTTTATAGTTATGTAAAATGATTGATATTAATCAAAAAAATCCCAACATAACCACAGTGTACTTGGGAATTATATATGTGCAGAATGATAGAAAGAAGGGAACAGATGGAAAAGTTTTTCAACTGCTTCATGAAGTCTTTGCAATTAACTTCTCACTTTTCTATCCTTGGGCTTCATAGAACCCTTGCTCTTAATTTTAATTCTTAAATCCAGTGTCATTTTTATTTGTGGGAAAATGTGGCTGCATTACATAAAAATATATACAGCCATGTATGTCTATACTTGACATTCTGATGCAAGGCTTAATTCCATTTTATTCTTCAGGTTAGGCCCAGGCTCCCTCATCTTTCTCCCTCTCCCTAGAGGCTGGACCAATTTTAGATCTCAGCTGAGGAAGTACTGTTTGAGTCCCGGCCAAAACTTTCTGTTATCCCCAGATGAGTCCACTGGGACAAGCTGGGTAATCCATAAAGGTCAGAAGCAAATCTTGGCCTACTCATGAAGTGTAGGTGGGGGCTGCGGCTCAGCAATACCCATGAGTGCACACGTGGCAGCGTGCCCTGGGTCACCCACCCACAAAGATGTGCTGCTGAGGACAGAGCAGCCATGGCTCAGGACGTCTCTGCCACACACTCCCCTCTAGAGGCTGAGACGTAACTGGACCCTGCTAAAGCAGGAAAGGCCACAGCGCTCTTCACAGCTGCATGTCTCCGTCTTTCCTCGCTCAACCACAGGGCCTGTGTGGGCTCCCAGTAGTTGCTGCACTTGATAAGGCTACCTTCCAAGATGCACTTCCTTTGAGAAGCCTGCTGAGAAACATGTATGTTAGTACTACTCTGCTCATCTCTACTGCGCGCTTCCTCCTGCTGAATTAAGAGACAAGGAGACGGAGGCTGACTCGTATACTCCAAGAAACAGAAACCTGAATTTGGATGTCTACTCTCTCCTCTGATTCTCTATTCTCATACAAGAGCATCAGGTAAGATTCCATCCAGATTTCTTGTTTCGTGTCTTTTTCACTTTCCTCTAATTTGTGTCAAATTTTCTCTATATGAAAATGTAAATTAGAATAGCTTCCTCGATATAGAAATTGGCTAGATTTTCAACTAGACAACTATAACACAGTCCTCAGCATCAGAACTGGTCTAAACTAATTGAAAGTTAATGATTTCATTTGTGAATATATTTAATAAAAATAATAATATTTTACTTAAATTTGGATGTTAGATTAACTACAAAGCCAGGTAGAACGGGAATACATTTTGTAATCACATTTATTCTATACCTTATTATATATTAGTCGCATATGCCAGAGTTCCTGAACCTGAATATCAAAAGAAGTAAAAGAACTTTTTTATTAAAATGAATGGGTTAACCAAAGAGGAAAAAAATCAGGGAGTGACTACAAACATATTTTCTTTAAGAGGGATAAATTTTAAATGATTCACTTATCCATTTAAAATAAGTGGAGTATAAAAAATCATTCAATATAAAAAATTAAATATTTAGATAATTAGATTTAGAAACACATTGAGAGAGAAGACACTTTTAAAAACTGTGTGTGTGTATATATACACAGTTTTATATGTGTCTATATATATATATACATAGATAGTTTTAAAGCATGATTACAACTTTGCAAAATGTTTTCTCTGATTTGTGATGGCTGACATATGAAGTACAAGAAAATGTAATGTATATGAGTGACACTGACATCAAGATTTGATTATTGCTTATAGTCCTTGTCTACACTACTATGCAATAGTGGTCTTTCTACTTTCTGTTTGTTGAGTTCTTTATTTAGTGGAGTATTAAGCCTGTGATTATAAAGTGAATGGGAAGTATATTATCACAAAAGTTAAAAGAAAAAAGGAAGGGGGATGGAGGGAGGGTGGGCCATATCATTATGTGCTCTACATTGTGCATATGAAATACATGAAATCTGTTCCCCTTATATAAATCAATTAATAAATAAAAAGTTTTTGTAGCAGTGAAAGTGAGAACTTCTTTTTGGTGTTTACAAGATTGAAAACGTATGTCAGAGAGGGAGGAGATATACAATTTGGGACATGCTCAATCAGACTTGCCCCAAACGGTACAGTTAGAAACGTGCCAGGGGATTCCAATTCAATCCTATCAAGGTGGCATGTACCAATGCCATCTCACTAGTCCAAGTGATCAATTTCAGTGCATAATTGATCACACTGATAGGTCTAAAGAGTCAAAGGGATCACATAAACAAGACTAGTGTCTGCTAATTCTATCTGATAGAATTAAGAAGGAGAGAACGATCCAACATGGGAAGCGGGATACACAGCAGACTCATAGAAGAGCAGATGCCCTAAACAGCACTCTGGCCTCAGAATCAGCCCTTAAGGCATTCAGAGATGACTGAAGAGCCCATGAGAGTATTTTAGGCATGGAAAGTCAAGACACTCTGGCAAAAAGGAAAAAAAAAAAAGACCTAAATGAAAGATCTCCGCGAGTGAGATCCCAGTGGAAAGAACGGGCCATCAAAGGAGGAGGTACCTTTCTCTGAAGGGAGGAGTGAACTTCCACTTTGACTATGACCTTGTCTAAATAAGATCAGAGTCAGTGAACTCAAAAGGCTTCCATAGCCTTGGCAACTCATGACAAGAGCCTCGGGTGATTACTGGCGCCATAAACAAGAGTGTCAATCTGTTAAGTCAATAACAGGAGTCACTGTGCACTTACTCCTCATGTAGGATCTCTGTCCTTAATGTGTTGTTCAATGTGAATTAATGCTATAACTAGTACTCAAACAGTATTTTACACTTTGTGTTTCTGTGTGGGTGCAAACTGTTGAAATCTTAATATATTCTAAATTGATCTTCTGTATATAAAGATAATTGAAAATGAATCTTGATGCGAAAGGAATGAGAAAGGGAGCAGGAGATGGGAGGGTTGTGGGTGGGAGGGAAGTTATGGAGGGGGAAGCCATTGTAATCCATAAACTGTACTTTGGAAACTTATATTTATTAAATAAAAGTTTAAAAAAAACATATGTCGATGCTAAAAATTGATTATATTCTGAATGTATTTGGAACATGAGGTCTTAGAGATTTCATGATAGTTTGGATGTGGAGTGTTGAAAAATGTGGTAAAAATAAACAAAATAAAGACACAGAAATATTGGTATTACCTTGCTGCCATTATTGATTACAAATTATTTTTCCTGATATTCACAATGCTCCATGAAATAAAACACCATCTAAAACCATGCTTGTGATACTTTTAAGGATTGTATTGTAAACAAACCCTATATGTTTATATGGTACTTTAATATTTCTTCCTCGGAGATTGAACTGAACAATTGTTTAAATTCGCTTGAGCTTATGTAAGTCTGAAACACACTGTAAATCCCCAATGGCAAGGAAGCCTCTATCTTGTCTCATGCAGTGCTGAAGACATTAACGGAGGCTGGTGTTTATTGGACCATGATGGGCATGGCACTCAAGATGTTGAGACTGTAATAAGCACCCAAACCCCCAAGTTTCATTTCCTCCCAGCGTCACACTGAGGCATAGGCTGAAATCTATTAGTTACCTAGGACTGTGCTATTAAATAATAAGTTGTAAAGAAATTTAGAGAAAATGTTAATGAAAAAATTGTATAGAATCACATAACTTGACCATTTCTTACATTGCAGTAGGAGAAAAAATGAAAGACCCTGGAAGTCATAATCACTCTGACCCTGTGAATGCATTCATTCTACTTGGATTCCCTTGTCCCCAGGAGATTCAGATCCTCCTCTTCTCCCTCTTCTCTGTGACCTATGTCCTGACACTCATTGGAAACCTGTGCATTATCTGTTCTGTGTGGTGGACCCAGCATCTCCATGGCCCCATGTACATCCTGTTGGCCAACTTTTCCTTCCTGGAGATCTGGTATGTCACTTCTACTGTGCCCAATATGCTAGTCAACCTCCTCTCTGGGACCAACACCATCTCTTTCTCTGGCTGCTTCCTCCAGTTCTACTTCTTCTTCTCCATGGGCACCACGGAGACCTTCTTCCTGTCTGCCATGGCCTTTGACAGGTACCTTGCCATCTGCAGGCCCCTGCACTACCCCACCATCATGACAGCGCGACGCTGCTGCAGACTGGGAGCCTGCTGCTGGGCGTGCGGCTTCTCCTCTTTCCTCCTCCCAGTGTATCTGATCTCCAAGCTTCCCTTTTGCGGCCCCAATACTATTGATCACTTTTTATGTGACCCTGGGCCCCTTCTGAAGTTGTCTTGTGTGCCAGCTCCTTCCACAGAAACCGTCTGTGCCGTAGTGAGCTCGGTCCTAATTTTCTCCACCTTCCTCTTCATTACCGGCTCCTATGCCCTGGTGATCAGAGCAGTGCTCAGAGTCCCCTCTGCTGAGGGCCGGAGAAAGGCCTTCTCCACGTGTGGCTCCCATCTGGCTGTGGTCTCCCTGTTCTACGGCTCCATCATGGTGATGTACGTGAGTCCCACAGCAGGCAACCCAGCAGGGGTCCAGAAAATTGTGACTTTGTTTTATTCTGTGCTGACTCCACTTTTCAACCCCTTGATTTATAGCCTCCGGAATAAGGAAGTGAAAGAGGCCCTGAGAAAACTGTTTAGGATTACAAGATTCGGTCAAAGACACCCTCTCAAGAGCTAGAGTCAATAATGATCCCAGGGAAATTTGAGAAAGCAAACATTTCTGGAATTTTTTGAGGGATGCGGTTCAATGATTCAAATAGCAAATGAAATGTTACAGGGACCGGCGCTGTGGCTCAGCAGGTTAACACCCTGGCCTGAAGCGCCGGCATCCCACATGGGCACCGGTTCTAGTCCGGCTGCTCCACTTCCGATACAGCTCTCTGCTATGTCCTGGGAAAGCATTAGAAGATGGCCCAAGTCTTTGGCCCCTGCACCCACGTGGGACACCTGGAAGAAGCTCCTGACTCCTGGCTTTGGATCTGTGCAGCTCCAGCCTTTGCAGCCAACTGGGGAGTGAACCAGTGGATAGAAGACCTCTCTCTCTCTCTCTCTCTCTCTCTCTCTCTCCCTCTGCCTCTCCTTCTTTCCCTGTGTAACTCTGACTTTCAAATAAATAAATAAATCTTTAAAAAAAAGTTACAGGTACCTTAATGAATTCTTTGTATTAGACTTTATTGTATTATTATTCCAATGACTTCTGCCTGGAAACAAGAAAATGCCAGACATTCTCAGACATTTTGGAAGCCAAAATCATATGTAACCCAGATATCAATTGATCAGTTTCTATCCTTTACAGGTGTGTATAAATCTGTCTCCAGCCCCTAGTTCCACAGTAGCTATAAATCTGGAGGCCCCCAAAACTCTCCTTGCATGCACACCATGCAAATATATTCATGTGTGCTTCTCTCACTCCTTCTTCCCTGCGATCTTGGCTTTGCTCATCAACTTGGGCGCATGACTCAACTCAGCATTTTATCCAAAATCAAACTCACTTCCAGCTCTATGTGGGTTAATTAGCCTCACTACAAATTGGGGTGAGGAAGGGCTGCCACACTAAACGTCCATCTCCCACGCTGAACCTGATACTACCTCTGCCTCTTCTTCCTCACACTCACCACCCACAAAAATAGATAATATTCCCTTTTACATTCACAATTATTTTGTGCATTTGTAGACTTTTTAGTGTCTGAAGTTCTTAAGTGAGCTATCCAAAAATTTCTTCTCAGCAACATAAGACCTAAATGATATGTTGTGAAAATAATTTTTCTCCAACTAGTTATTAATTCACATTGCTTTAGATTCATATAACATGGCATTTTCTATCATTATCTTCATACCACCCACAAGTTCTCAAAGCAAAAGAATAAGTGTACTGAAACAAAAAGTGGAGGTGAGATGTATAAATGTGTCTATCTGGAATAAGCCTAATGAAACAATAGTAATTTGTGCCCTAAGTAATTTATGATTTTTTTTGACAGGCAGAGTTAGGCAGTGAGAGAGAGACAGAGAGAAAGGTCTTCCCTTTTCCGTTGGTTCACCACCCAAGTGGCCACTACAGCTGGCATGCTGCGCTGATCCGAAGCCAGGAGCCAGGTGCTTCTCCTGGTCTCCCATGCGGGTGCAGGGCCCAAGCACTTGGGCCATCCTCTACTGCACTCCCGGGCCACAGCAGAGAGCTGGACTGGAAGAGGAGCAACCGGGACAGAACCCGACACCCTGACCGGGACTAGAACCCGGTGTGCCGGCACCACAAGTGCTTTTCTCTCCATATGTATCTGAATGAACACTAGCCATGCAGAGAATATACAGTGTCTGATAATACTAATGTCTAAAATGAGGTGCATTATTCCCCCAACACATTTTCAAAATGCCCTGCTCATTTTGCATCTTAATAAATAAATAGCACTCTAAGAACACAGAAAAGGCAAGATTCATAGAAGCCTTTTCATTTCAGCTACAAAAGGAGATTAAAGTTGGGCACTGTATAGGACTGTCAGCATGCCTTAATTCATTCCCTGAGTACTGGATAACACTGGCTTATTGAGCCCATAGCCTACACAGCAAATCAGCCAGGCAGCAAATCTGGATGCACAGTGCCTTTGTGCACCCCATCCTCCAATAAGAGGCACAAAGATGTCAGAGTGTTCACTATAGCTCCTGCAGCAACAGTGAATGACCTTCACCATCCTCTTCTGGGCAGACTTCTTTTTTAAAAAAAAAATTATTTGTTTTACTCTCAGATCTACAGAAGGAGAAGGAGAAGTCAGAAAGAGAGAGAGAGAGATCTTCCATACACTGGTTCACTCCTTAGATGGCTGCAACAACCAGGGCCGGGCCAGGCCAAAGCCAGGAGCCAGGAGCTTCTTCCAGGTCTCCCCGGACTTGGGCCATCTTCCACTGCTTTCCCAGGCCAGGAGAATGGAGTTGGATTGGAAATGGAGCAAGTGGGACCTGAACCAGCACCTGTACAGGATGCCAGGTCACAGACAGTGGCTTTACCCAGTATGCCACAGCACTAACCCCTGACAGACTTCTTACGCCAGGAATGACCTCCGTCGCCTCCTACAATGGCCTTGGTAAGAGAGGGAAGAACTGAAACATGTGCAACGTTCCTATGTTCTCTCCTTAGAAATGTTGAATGAGAGAGAAAGGCAAGTGCTTGAATCTCCTGCCTGCCTAAAAGATAATGAAGAGAAAAAGAAGAATTAGGACATAACACACCAATACTCATCAATTATCTCTTGAAAGGAAACTTAAAATTTTGTTCTCATCCTAGCACTTATTTTTGCTTTTTTAAAGCAAATACTAGCAATATTTTGCATTGAAATTACCATTAAAATAACTAAAACAGTAATTAAAAACATTAAGAAACTTTAAAATGATAGCTAGATGCAAGTAAAAAAAAAAATTGTGCTTCATAATAGCCACAAAATGTAATACACTACCAAACACATTCACCAAAATAGTGAGGTAAGTTTGAAAGAAACTGAGTTCTGGCGGCCCAATGGCTCAATAGGCTAATCCTCCGCCTGCGGTGCTGGCACACCGGATTCTAGTCCCGGTCAGGGTGCCGGATTCTGTCCCGGTTGCCCCTCTTCCAGGCCATCTCTCTGCTGTGGCCCGGGAAGGCAGTGGAGGATGGCCCAAGTACTTGGGCCCTGCACCCCATGGGAGACCAGGAGAAGCACCTGGCTCCTGCCTTCGGATCAGCACAGTGCCGGCCGTAGCGGCCATTTGGGGGGTGAACCAATGGAAGGAAGACCTTTCTCTCTGTCTCTCTCTCTCTAACTCTGCCTGTCCAAAAAAAAAAAACTTATGTTTTGCAGCAAAATAGATTCAACTAGAGTCCATTATGTTTGGTGAAATAAGCCAAACTCAAAAAGACAAATAGCACCGGCGCTGCGGCTCACTAGGCTAATCCTCCGCCTAGCGGCGCCGGCACACCGGGTTCTAGTCCCGGTTGGGGCGCCGGATTCTGTCCCGGTTGCCCCTCTTCCAGGCCAGCCCTCTGCTGTGGCCAGGGAGTGCAGTAGAGGATGGCCCAGGTGCTTGGGCCCTGCACCCCATGGGAGACCAGGAAAAGCACCTGGATCCTGGCTCCTGCCATCGGATCAGCGCGGTGCGCCGGCCGCAGCGCGCCGGCCGCGGCGGCCATTGGAGGGTGAACCAACGGCAAAGGAAGACCTTTCTCTCTGTCTCTCTCTCTCACTGTCCACTCTGTCTGTCAAAAAAAAAATAAATAAAATAAAAAAAAAAGACAAATAGCACATCTTTTCTCTGATTTATGGTGACTAATGGAGTACAAAATAACATTAATATCTATGAATGAAATTGCTATCTTTAGGGTTTGATCATTATTTATCGCTCTTGTCTCTATTCTTGTTGAGCAATGGTCTTTCTTTTGAACTTGTTGAACTCTTTACTTAGTGGAGCATTAAGCCTGTGATTATGAAGGAAATTAAAAATATGTTATATAAAGGTTTAAAAAGATAAAAAAGAAATGAAGGAGAAGGAAGGAAGGGAGGGAGTTTATGTTCTTAGGGTTGTGTCTATGAACTACTTGAAATTTGTGCTCTTTGTAATAATAAATAATTAAAAGAAGAGAAAGACAGACATATAGAGAAACTAAATAGGTTAATAGTTCAGAAATTAACCCATATACCCATGTTCAATATCTATTTTCAACAAAGATGTTGAGTCCATTCAAAGCAAAAGAATAATCCGTTCAACAAATTCTGCATAGACAACCAGAAATCCACATGTAAGAGATTAAGTTAATCTCTACACTTCAATAATATGCAAAAACAATTAAAACTGCATTGAAGACTTTAATATAGGGGATAAAATTACAAAGCATTTACAAATACACATAAAATTTCCATGACTTTCAAAAAGTATAAAAAACAAGGAAGGTGAAAGAGATAAATTAAGCATCAACAAACATCTGCATATCAAAGGACATTATGTAAAAAGTTAAAAGATAACAGAGAATAGAAAAATTATTTGTAAGCTACATTTCCCAAAAGGGTACAGTATCTAGAATATATAAACAATCCATAGAACCTTACAATACATAGAAAGTCAAAATTTGTGTAAGATAGCTTTTACATTAGTACAAAAATCTAGGGCTAGCACTGTGGTGCAGCAGGTTAAGCCACCATCTGGGACACTGGTATCTCCTATAGGGTATGGTTCAAGTCCCAGCTGTTCCACTTCCAATCCAGCTCCCTGTTAATGTACTTGGGAGAGTAGCAAAAAAAATGGCTCATGTACTTGGGTTCTGTACATACATGGGAGACTTGGAAGAAGCTCCTGGCTCCAGGAGTCAACTTGGCCCCACCTGGTCATTGTAGCCATCTGAAGAGTGAACCAGAGGATGGAAGACCTGTGTGTGTGTGTGTGTGTGTGTGTGTAAAACTCTGCCTTTCAAATAAATAAACCTTTTTTAAAATCTTTAGGAGTCAGTCTAACAAAAATCATGAGACTTCAACATAGAAAACTATAATACTTTATTTTATAATTTAGTGGAGGTTTTGTGCCAAGACTATGGATTGTAAAAAATCACTAAGCAGATTATAAGAATCCTTCCCATCCAAAACTGTCCCAATCAAAATGCCAGCAACCATTGTTTTGCAAATTGACAAGTGGATTTTAAGTTTATATGAACAATTAAAGGTCCAAGGCTACCCAAAAATGTTTGTGGAGAAATGAATAGAGAGGATTTATCTTAGCAGATGTTAAGATCTACTAGAAGGCTACAATAAGAGAATGTGTTACTGGTACAATGGGCACAAATTGCAACATGAGATTCCAGACATCAATCCGTATATAAACACCTATACTCAATTTATGATAAAATAGAACTGCATGAAAATGGTGAAGTTATAGCAAATGTGAAATGAAGGATTTTTTTATCCATAAAAATGCACTAAGTCAAGTGTATTTTCAAGTTCTCTCACTCAAAATATTGCTTAAATACCTTGTTCTCTGTGGGGCAGTCTCTATCAATTTAAAATCAAAACCTGCCACTCTAAAATCCATCTCTGCTTCATGCTTAATTGTTCCCACATTGTTTTCAATCTGCTATATTGTTATTTTTTAAAGATATTTTTATTTATTTGAAAGTCAGAGTTACACAGAGAGAGGAGAATCAGAGAGAGCGCGAGAGAGGTCTTCTATCCGCTGGTTCACTCCCCAGTTGGCCACAACGGCAGGAGCTGTGCCGATCTGGAGCCAGGAGCTTCTTCCAGGTCTCCCACACTGGTGCAGGGGCCCAAGGACTTGGGTCATCTTCCACTGCTTTCCCAAGCCATAGCAGAGAGCTAGATAGGAAGTGGAGCAGCTGGGTCTTGAACAGGGATGCCGGTGCTTCAGACCAGGACATTAACCTGCTGCGCCACAGTGCTGGCTCCTATATTGTTATTTAATTTAAGTTATTTATTTTCTTCTTCTTCGAATAGAATAAAGGTAGAAGTTTGTGGAGTTTATACAGGAATCCCCAAGATATGAAATAATGGTTGGCATTTGGTAGACATTCAATAAAACTGAATGTCAATTAAATTTCTTGAACTGATGTTCATTTGTGCTCCACATAAGATGCAATACAAATGCTTCTAACAAAGTTTACAGCCACAGTCTGTGATGAGCAAAGAATGAGATCTTCTTCAATGTATGCAGAGGGAAACCAATGGAAAGCTCTATTTCAGCTATTGTGAGAACACCTTCTATGACTTACTCCCTGGGAATCTTACAGAACACACAATTCTAGAGAAGAAAGGACCGACCCTACTTTGACACCTTTACTATTCTTTGGGGAACAATAAGGCTACACCTGATTGTAAATGAAAATTCAAAAATGATCTCTTCTTTTGATGGAACTGTCAAGTCAGCCAGAAATCATCCCACAGCCCAACACTCCATGACATAAGCAAATAGAAATATCTAACGCTTTCAGCTGGCTTTAATTTTTCCAATAAATATACACTTTGAAGTTGGCAAAAACAATTTCAAAGATTCACTGTTTACATACTATGGACAATGACAAACTGAATCAGCCAATTTCTTGGATATTCCTCACATGTTTTTCATTCTGTTGAGTAATAGTTTCTCATCCGTGAGCTTCTCAACACTACCCAAGGAGTCAATGTAAAAGTTGTTGTTGTTTGTTTTTTTTTTTTTTTTCAAAAAGCTGGACCCCCCCCCCACCCCTGCCCTGCCATTCACCAAACTTAGGCAATTAGGTTAATATATCAAAATTTTATCACTGCTCCAAATACATTGATTTAAGGAGTAAGTCAACACTGACTTGAGAAAAACTATGAAAAGTGTCCTCAAAGGTAGGTGAGACTCTCAAAGCAGTCTCAAATATATAGGTCTCAAGTTTACTCTCACTGTGAAGTAGCTATTTGCTATAACATATTGGCAGAGAACAGCAGCAGAATTGTAACAATCAAACCTAATCTCTAAAGATTGTGAATTACTGCTCTCAGGTTAGTGTTGTGCCCAGATCGCTTAGATTCCCGCAGAGACCTCCAGAAAGTCGATCACACCGAACTGCAAAAGCAAGGTTTATTTGGGAGTACAAGCCGCGACAGGGACCGCATCCAACCAACCGGCACAGCAGAGGAAGGAGTGAGGCCCCGGTCTTTGTTAGGGAGAGTTTTTAAAGCAAAAAAGAGCCACATCAGCAGGAAAAAAGAGTTACATACAGCATGGAAGCTCTGGGCACAGGGAGTTACTTTGTTTAGCAATCTCTACTGTGCTGTCCTTGGTCCACCGAGCTAGCTGTCCCTGGTAAGCTTTGATATCACCCGAATGCCTGAATGCCTGCTTTTACACGGACCCAGGTCTGCTATGGGAAAGGGAGGCTGCTTTTTTTTGTTTGTTTTAAAATGGAGTCACTTTGGTTCTTCATTAGTATTAACGGCACAGTACACACAGTGAGTCTCTTTTCCTCCTCTAAATCACAGAAGAAAATCCGAAATGTGTATGAGTTACACACGTTACCCAAGGGACGGTGAGTGAAAGGGCAGTCCACGTGTGCTGAGCGGTACTGCTCGAGGGAGGCAGCACCCACCACCAAGCCTGCAGGCTTCCAAAGCCATTTCGACCTGAAAAGAGGACTTGGGCCACACGGGCGACTACTTCTTCCCAGCTGATTTCAGTGCTAGCTTCTGCCCAGTGGTCACAAGTTAGCCTCCATCAGGAGCTCTTAGCTGACCAATGTCTTCCTGATCCCAAAGAAAGGGTTTGTTGTTTTTGTTTGATTATTTGCCATTGCACTAAAATATTTGATCTCACCTGGCAATAAATGAGCTCAATATTTTCCTAGCACCTTCAGGCTACTTGGCACAAGTCCACTCCTGGTTTTACTGTCTGGAGCCAGCTACCTACTGAAGTTTACTAAGTAGAAGACAAATAGCTGGCTGGAGATGTCACGGTGTCGGTTGCCATGCCAACAATTGTTATAATACATCACAGAGACGCGTGTAAGAAGAAAGAAAGCAGAGAATAGTGCAGGAAGAACTAAAGAATAATAGGAAAAGCATGCAGAATCTAAATTTCAAGTGTAGAAATATGTTGAAAATTCTAGGGAAAACAACTTTTTTTAGGAAGACTGACTTTCTTGTTGAAAAGAAGTGGTTTAATTGGAATAATTTCTTGGCTAATTTTGGCCTTAGACTAAAAGTAAAAGGATTGAAATTGATTTGGGGGTACACAGACTATTGTAATACCAGAAGTTCAGTTGAAGGAAGCCAGAGAGCCATTGAAATAGCAGGAAATCGGGCCGGCGCCGCGGCTCACTAGGCTAATCCTCCGCCTAGCGGCGCCGGCACACCGGGTTCTAGTCCCGGTCGGGGCGCTGGATTCTGTCCCAGTTGCCCCTCTTCCAGGCCAGCCCTCTGCTGTGGCCAGGGAGTGCAGTGGAGGATGGCCCAGGTGCTTGGACCCTGCACCCCATGGGAGACCAGGAAAAGCACCTGGCTCCTGGCTCCTGCCATCGGATCAGCGCGGTGCGCCAGCCGCAGCGCGCCGGCCGCGGCGGCCATTGGAGGGTGAACCAACGGCAAAGGAAGACCTTTCTCTCTGTCTCTCTCTCTCACTGTCCACTCTGTCTGTCAAAAAAAAAAAAAGAAAAAGAAATAGCAGGAAATCAGTAGGTGTGTAATGGCTTTGAGATACAGTGACACTAAATAATACTCTATGGGCTCTTGCTAAGCAAAGTTAAAATATCGTGGAGTCAACACTGAAAGAGGGGTAAGTTACAGGAGAAACCTAGTAGGTGATGTAATTCTGGGTGATATTTGCTCTACCTGGCTCCCAGCATCAGTGTATGCAGCATGAGCAGACTGAGTGTACATGCTAAGCCAGTCTGAATGAGCTGATGAGGATTATCTTGCCCCCTTGTGGCTGGGGACCAACACACACAAAACTTGAAGACAACAGGGAGAAGATCCCCAGTACGCCTGTCTGAAGAAGGGCAGCTCTGAAACTCGTCCTCCTCCCTCCTCGCTACAAATATCAACTTGCCCAAGACTTGTCCAGCTCCAGCAGCGTGAGACGATCGCACATTTATTCAATTAGCTAGAAGTGAATAAAACCTGATGCTCAGCCCTTATGGGAGATTCTTGCTAAGACAGACTCCCTAGGACTTTGATCAGAGTGGCTTACAGCACCCTGAGGTGAAATATTAATCTTCTCTCTCCTGAATCTAACATTCAAATATTTGTTCATTGAATCAGGTTGTTCATAAAGTATAGAGATTTAGTGACAAGATTATTTAAGAAACAAGCCCTAAAAAATGACTGTTAGGCTAACCAGAGTGAAGATGAGCATAAAAATTTACCAACAAGAGGCTGGTGCTGTGGTATAGTGGGCTAAGCCTTCTCCTGCGGCAGCAACATCCCATATGGGCTCTGGTTCGAGTCCCAGCTGCTCCTCTTCTGATCCAGCTCTCTGCTATGCCCCAGCAAAGCAGGAAAAGATGGCCCAAGTGCTTGGGCCCCTGTAACTTCCTGGGAGACCTTGAAGCAGCTCCTGGCTCCTGGCTTTGGATCAGCCCAGCTCTGGCTGTTGTGGCCATTTGGGGAGTAAACTATCAGATTGGAAGACTTTTCTCTGTTTCTCTCTCTCTCTCTCTCTCTCTCTCTCTCTCTCTGTAACTGTATCTCTTAAATAAATAAACAAATCTTTAAAAATATCTAGTAACATCTAAAAGCTATCTTCATTCTAAATATATTGTTCACTAGAGCTATACTATACTCTTGAAGCATAAAACACTAAGCTGCCTTTAAATCAAATCTAGGGGCAGGCTCTGTGGTGTAGCAACTAAAGCTGCCGCCTACAGTTCTGGCATCCCATATGGGCTCTGGCTCTAGTACCATCTGCTTTGCTTCCAATCCAGCTCTCTGCTATGGCCTGGGGAAGCAGTGGAAGATGGCCCAAGTGCTTGGGCCCCTGCACCCACGTGGGATGCGGCTCCAACTGTTGCAGCCAATTGGGGAGTGAACCAGCAGATGGAAGACCTCTCTCTCTCTCTCTCTCTCTCTTTCTCTGCCTCTCCTTCTCTCTGTGTGTAACTCTGAATTTCAAATAAATAAATAAATCTTTAAAAAACTAAGGCTGTTTAGGAATGTTATTGATATATATGTGGTAGTCCCTTGACTGTCCTGGTGCTTTGTTGTATATATTATCACACAAAAGGGGCCATAAACCTTATTGTGTTTACCTAGAAATACATTTTAGATTACAGAAAAATAAGCATATATAATACCATATCATTCTTGTTCAAAACCCCTGTGCCTGTTTCCTAGGCCCTCTAAGAGAACGCTTACTTAAAGAAGGGTGAGGACATTTCAGAACGTTTGTTGCGCCCTCACCGCATCCACATTCATCTTTCTCAAGTGAAAAGAATAAACAACTCACTCACTCACTCACTGATGTTGCTTGGTTTATGCTGCTCCTGCCTCCCTCCCACCACAAACTCTGAATTCTGTTGAATTGCTCTGTACAGGGGAGACTTTTTCTGCCTTCTTCACCCACTTTAGTTAAGTACTCCGTATGTTTGTCAAATAACATTCTACCAGTTTTAGGACTTAAAGTGCCATTTTAATGGCTATCATAATACAACCAACGTGTCCCTAAACAACAAATTTGAGAACTGGTATTGGTCTGTGACATATGTTTTTCTCTTTCTTCACAATACAAATGGAGACTCTGATGGTAGATCTTTCTGTTGTCGCTCTAGTACTATTTAATTATTCCCCAGGAACCTTTAGCCATGCCTCTTTACTTGAAGCATGGCAGGAAGTAGGGACAAGTTCTGTAAGTTCACTTTTCCTCAGGGAATGGAAGGGCTTGGGATTTCATCATGATTAAATAAAATTTCAAAACTATTTCATCTATTGGATAAATATTTTATAATATCAGGGGAGAGGACCCCAAATATCAAAAGGCCATGATGCCAAAAAAAAAAAAAACAGAAATAATACCTTTCATCTGGGCTTTCATATTTACTATCAATATGAGATTTGGAGCAGGCAGAAAGCCTTTTAAAATTCACCTTTTGAAACTAATGGCAAATTACACATTAAATCATACAATTCTCCAGAAGCCCCTCACATTCTTCTTACCCTATGGGGTAATATTTTATTTTTCCTCTCTGAATTTTCTTCTTGGCACATAGCCAAGGAGTAAGCTGAAACCTTACATACCACATAGCCATAAGTGCTAAGTGTCATGCATAAATGGACCTACTGGCAAGTGATCCCTTTGTGCTCTTAGTATGTAAATATCTATTCAAATAAAATTCAGACAAAGATGATTGAAACTGCGGATTTTCTTTCCATTTCATTGAGTTTTGGGAAAGCTATTTATCTAGTTTCCTTAACCCTTTAAAACATTAATCAATATTACAAAGAAATTTAAGGATTTTGTGTGAAAATGTGTAGCTGATAAATTTATGGAGGTAGATTTATGTAAATATTATAATGAACTTCACTGCTTATTCAACAAAGAAAACATGAAAATTATCTTAACCTACTCTGATGCATTATTTCCCAGCCCAAATATTGCTATCAGTTTCACTAAGTATGCCTCGGTTTTATGTGAAACAACCCTTCTAAGTTGGCAAACCCATTCAGCAGCTCTATGCTTTTTGCTGGTTGCAATTATAGAATCTTCTTTGAATTATGACTCCATACCGTCAGTATCCACAAGAAATACTGCAACAGAAGACTCCAACAAGGTGACTATTATTTTTGATTTGGTATGACTACTAGGATCCCACTGACAGAGAATATAACCAAGATAGCTGAGCATGGGATCCTTGGAATTAGGACACAGGTCAAACTGTAAAGGGTTACTGCCTTTAAATCAATGAATCACCTGTGGAATGTTCCGGTTCCCAAGAGAACTCCAAAATGTTCCTTCTACATTCTAAACCCCCAACACCACACACACACACACACACACACACATACACACACACACAATTAAACCTATTTTCAAGCTACAAAAAAATTACATGAGTTTTAAAAATTCAGTTTAATGAGTTTTGAAGAAATAATCAGGATTTTGAATTTATAAGCAGAATGTTCCCTTCAATAAGAGAGCACTATAGAATAATTTATAAGCATCCCACAGGTAAAAATTTTTTTTAACTTATTAGGGTCAATGGTCTCTACTTTCTCATTTCCTGATAATGAATATGTTGTACTCAATATATGTATATGTTGTCTAGGAATGGCCATCAGAATTTGCTGTCTCCAGGCAACGTAATACTTATTCTTTCTCAGATATACTATGTAATAACCTCACCAGACAATTCATAGAGTTGTTCAGAATAACAAACCTGAATAAGCTTTTTGTTTTAAGCACACTATACAATCACAACAGATCAAGAGAAAATCTATGTCTACCAGGGTAAAACACATACACACACACAAACACATACAAGCACACACACTCATAATTCAACAAACTATGGTGTCAACTACTTTTCCACCTATTATAATGCGATTGATAATAGAAACAAATAAATTGACACACCACATTGCATTTAGATTTCAACAATCTACCTAGTCCCATAGGCAGTAAGAATATGTAAACAGAAATCCTACTTTAGGCACCAAATGTGATAGCTAACAGTTGGGTCCTAAGAAAGCAAACTAAAAGTTAAACTTCATTTCAATAACAATTTGGGAGGATTAGCAGGAGGAAGTAAAGCAAGATATCCTATATCTCAAGACTGTCTCAACAGAAAATCCCTAGGATGAGTATAAGAGAGCACAAGTGTTACAAATAAAAAAGGAGACCAAAAAATTCAAGCACAAAAAATGTTATGGATAAAGCAATATGGTAACTACACATACACAAATCAAAATTTTTGTCTGTTTTGCAAATTTTTGCAGCAAAATTGTCCAAGTCCGACTACAGCAAACAGTCTAATAACTCAGAGCAATTTGTCTCTGGAAGGTCAGTTTCCCTAAGTTGTGTATCCAGACCTCAACTTCACACAAGAGTGTATCAGAATCTTCAGAATTTAAGGTGCAAAAGTGTAAGATTCTTCTCCATAGTTCAGTAGACCAGCTAGAGAAAGAGCATTTCTTACACTTGGGAACTTTAGTGCATGGAAACGTTGAATCATTTTAATGGGAAATTCATGCAGTTTTTTCATAATACGTATTTTTCATTAATTTTTGGAAGACCCCTCACACATGGCAAAAAGATGAGGAAATATACAACTAGTGTTAAAGTAACTTACAAAATAATAAAGTTTGGACTCTTCTATGTATTCCTGTATCTTGACCTCATCTAATGTTTTTTTCCCAAAATTACATTCCCCATTTGTATTATTATTTGTGTCTTATTTTTAAAATGAGGTCATGCTCTTCAGGAGCAATCTAAAAATCAGTCTTGTTCGCAGAAACCTCACTGTCTGCTACTTTCTCAAAAATAGATGGTAAAGGAATTTGGTGTTTCCAGGGAGGAAAATATCAACATTCTCCATTAAACTGCAAAAAAACAGTGTCATCTTCTTGTCTTCCAGACTAATGAACGTGTCCAGCAGAGAAAACATCCACTGCATCAACTACTCTATCCTCATGGGCTTTCCCTCAAGCCCAGAAATGCAGCTCCT